TCATAAAATCAGTAAACGGCCACATAATGCAAAACAATATAAAATTCAGACAGTCAGATATTTATTTTTTTGACCGGACTTGATTGCAAGCAAATACAATTAAAACAGTTTTTAAATAAGTGTGAGTGAATAAATATTGTTATAAAATTTTCTAAATAAGTAACAAAATTAGTAATAAATAATGATTCTAACTAAAACAACAATACAATTTGGGCGAAATATAGGCCCATTAAATTATTGCTTAACATTTTCTACCCTCCTGTTATACTTCTGCGCTATACTTCTGATCGTGGTCATTTCTCGTAAAAAGTTATTCGATTTTCGATTAGAAACTAATTCGATAGTTTTAATTTACCAATTCATCGTGTTTTGATTTTATTCTTTAGAACCAGAATAATTATCTAAGTACAGTATACCTACTTGTGCGTAACAGCAAAAAAATAAAGATACTGTGCGCAAACTATTGTCCAATCACAAAAGAGTATTTTTTCGTTGCATGCGCCGAGAGTTGTTTTCATAAAACAAATATTTATTAATATTATTTTGTGAAAAAGTATCTTCAAAATCCATGAGCATGAGATCGCAAGACGACCAAATCAAGGTAAAATTGAACGGCAAACACGCACAGTAGGTTATTTGAACGGTATAGACTTCGAATATGACTTATATTTCCAATAATTAGTATAGTATGGCCTATGGAGGTAGACTTAGGCCTAGGCCCCCCTAGGCCTAGACCTCCTACCTAGGACCAGCCAGTCCGAGCGCAAGACTGCTCCTCTAGTAGGCCTAAGCCTAGGCGACTAGGACTTAGGTGTCCTAGCTGGAAGAAGGATTGGTTTACTGTTATAGGTCTAAGCCCAGGTCTATGTATTGTGTTTAAAATCAGTGATATTTGTGCAGTTGGCGTTTAGAAATCTTAAATTCATGATGTTTGTGGAAAAATGAATTCATTTATTATTAGTTACAATTCTACATTATTGAATGCTTGTTTGTAGTATAAAAAGTAGGCTATCCTTGGCTTGGACTGTATTCATATTAATTAACGTGAAACAGTTGGGTCTTCTATGCCTATCTATATAACAATGCCCTAGTTTTAGCCTATACAACCATTCAGTATAAAATACTGAATGAACTTAACATTCAAACTACTAGAATTGCTTGTACTGTAGTTGCCTTCGATTGCCTGAAAATAATATTCCTGAAGGCCCTAAATGAGCACCGAAATTAAAAGCTGTGGAAGGTATCTAGATATTTGATCAGATTTTATACAATTTTTTTTCTTGGTGGTGGAGGGAGGTGGGGAATGGGAAGGGGTTGTAGGCTGGCTCCAGAGGGTGGAGGCAAACGAACGAAGTAATCTTAACAGTGAACTACAGAAGCCCTACTACTTACTGTAGTAGACCTGCTACTCATTTCATTTATTTATTAGAATTCCAGATTTTTAATGTATAATGATTTCTTTGTTTATTTTTTAATTTTATTTTAAAATGTTCAATTCAATTTTGTGGTTGACAGCACGGTTTATGTTTATTTTATAAATTAATGATAGACCTTTATAAAATGCTTTAATGTGAATTATTTTGTTAGACTGCAGTAAATGCATTTTAAATTGTTTTATTATTATTATTATTATTATTATTATTATTATTATTATTATTATTATTATTATTATTATTGATACTTGATGAAAACTTGGGAGGTGGATTAGCTCTCATACCCTTCTCAAATGTAATGTTTTGTTAAATCTTGGGAGGATGTAGTATTGTGTATTTTTTGTGTGGTTTATTAATCTTCGCATTAATTTATTTGAAACACTGTAGTTTGTTATTCTTTTAATTTTCCTTTAAGTAAAAATAATACAGCACATTATTGACCTAATAACTTATAAATAAGATTCTTTCCATTTGCTATAGTCAACAGTGTACCATGCCCTTCGTGGTATGCCTTTCGTTTTGTGGTCCTATACGAGAAGTGTCCTATCTTTACCGTTATACCGAGCTCACTCCCAGTGGCGTAACGCTTATGCGCTCTTGGGCGGCGGTCTGCAGGGACCTCGATTCATAGGGGCCTGGGGCCCTCCAATTAGGTCTTTTCTCTAGCACCCGGATGCAAGACAGGCCTCTCCAGTGACGGATTAAAATGATTATGACTCTCCATCTGTAAAATAGACCCCCTCTCTATTTAAAATTTCTGGACCCGCTACTGATATCATATCATATATTTCGTCGTTAAAGCACAATGACAAAAAATAATTAAAAAACGAGTACATCATAAAAACCCACGATTGGCGACCGAGAGACCCAAAAATGGCTTAGGTCTCAGAAAGCCACAGAGCCCTTGGCCCCGACCCAAGCGTTATGCCTGCTGCCTCCACTCAAGGGAGATTGGGTAGGCTGCTGCCGTCATCGAAATTTAAGTTTTATTAGTTGGATTGAGTATTTTAATTTTTAAATTCTCAAGGTTTATGCTGAAGGAAAATCCAGGCCCACGTCTAATCGATATGGGATGGTTTATGGGTTTGCCTCGTCCGGAAGGATGAACATGGACTTCTCGAAAAATCATGATTTTCAATCCTGTTTTTAGATTCTCCGCTGACTACTTTTAAATCAATAAAAAGAATTTTAAAATTAAATAAACAAATAAAATAAATCAAACAACCTTTAAAGTAATGAAGTAAGACAGCGGCTTAAAATGGCATTAAACAAACCGCAATATTAAGTTTATAATCGAGCATTGGAGACGATTGATGTTACGTGAGTAGTTGCTAAGTTAATTAAGTTCTTCACTTTATTATCCTTTAATTTGTAATCCCCATTTTTATAATATACATTAAGTAGTGCTATCTGATAATCCCCACATTGAAGAAGTTGTCAGAAAAGGAAACCCGATATAATCGCTTGCATTAAATCAATTATAAATGAACAAGACTATTTTAATAGAATATACTATATGGGGATCTACTTTGGAAATCTATTGGAATTCCTACAATAAACTATGCGTCAAGGCACCACAAAACGTTGCTAAAGAAGCACTATACGGTGATCTAGAATGGCAATCTGTGGAATCGAAAGATAAAACACCCTTTAATTAATCGCTTGAGGAACATGGATGATTAGATGGCCAAAACTCTTAATAACGCAATAAAATTTGTGGAAAGTAAATTAAAATAGGGATGGCTTAATAAAATAAAGAAATTCTATATAAGTGTAACATGGAAAAATATATATACAGAACCATCTAATAATTGGATGTGTAAGTTTAAAGATCAAAACAGAAAGAACGATAATAATGAATGGCAAAAGAGAGCACAATGCAAATCACCATTGATACATTATACAATATACAAAGACAAACCAGAACTCGAACCGTATCTTCTTGATAAAAAATATTTTAAAGAAGTTGCCTAAAATTTAAAGAACGCTCCAACTCATTAAACCTTGAAGGCAGAAAACAATTATGGTCGTCGGAAAATCCAGGTATAGGGTGAGCTGTTTACAATAATCTTAAAGTTTGAGAAAAAATTGAAACCATCTGTAAAATAGAATGTTTAACGTTAAAATTACCGAACAAAAGAAGTACGAAAAATACAGCTACCAAACAATTTACAAAGATAATAAACCATATATTTTAAAGACTAGTAAATCGGATGCAATTTTTGCCGTGTCCTCGTTTGGTATAACCCTGCACTTTTTTCAATATCTAAGGGGAGGGTTAACATTACAAAAAATGGATTTATTAATCGACTTCCTAAGTTATATAATTCCTTATGTAAAATTGATCCTTCAGTTTACGTTTTTTTATGATTCGTTATCATGTTTTCGCCGAAAGGTTTTGTTGAATGTTTCTAATAGGTTTAGATTGTCTGTTTTAACTTGTTTAAAATGTCTGTGTGTTTGTGTGTGTGTGTGTGTGTGTGGGTGGGTGTTTGTGTGTGTGTGTTTGTGTATGTATGTATGTATAGGAGCAGCGTGAAAGGTTTGGTTTCCCAACCTTGAGATCGGGGTTTGAATCCCTCGCTGTGCATTTTGTTTGACACTTTATCTGCATTGCTTCTCTCCACCCAGGAGTATAAATGGGTACCTGGTGGGGTTGCTTGCTACTGCGCTGAATACAGCAGCAACTTAAGCATGTGGATCCAATGACCAGGGACAGAAGCGCTTCGTATCTGCAAAGAAAAGCGCAATATGAATATATATATATATATATATATATATATACTGCGACCTACAAGCTTTTCTAGCTTAACCACAGCAGTTCTATGAGAGGACTAGCGCCTGGGGCTTGGATCTTCGCCTGTATCCTGGTAGGTCTATGTGGTCTATTGGATATGATACTACTCGCCATTCAGTTGGGAATCTTTTTCATACAACTATTTTAGATTGATACGATTCAATACACAATCATTTTCTTTTTTGTTTTGTTTTTTGGAAAGCTATCCATTTACAGTAGGTCTATCATTAAAACAATAGGCCTATACTTATTGTATGCTAAGGATGCGAGGAAAAGTATATGACCTGGGTAAAGAAAATCCCCCAAGTCTCCTTCTACAGTGCCGCCATTACTGTGAACTCTCTTGGCTCAGAAATCGACGCGGAAATGGTTCTAATTCGTGACCTGGTAAGTCATTATGAATACATTTTGATAGCAATAACGTATTTTATTGTGACGTAGATCCGTTTATTACTGCTGTATGCTGTATGAATATTAGCTTACAGTCGAACGAGCCAATCATTGTTCAACCAGTTCCTCAACACAACGCAAGCACAAATCGACACTACAGTACATTTCCGAAGACCATTTAGTTTTAAAAGGTACGTATATTTTATTAAACGGTTACTTGCTTTGGACTGTAACTATATTAACACTTTCATTGAGAAGGCTTTTGAAATACACTTCCCAAAAGATTGTAGACAGAAAACATTTACTATCTAAACATCGTTTGCCGCACCCACTTCCGTTACCTTTTAGGTCGATACCAGAAACGGGATTAAGCAACGGTTCCTATATTATGTGAATAGATATCCAGCATTAGATTTAGAGCGGTAAGGGAGAACGGTAGGGGGATGTCATTGTAGAGGTTGGTAAGTGTATGTGTCCGTCGATACCTGCGATATGCGCTTCTTATCTCCTTCTCCGAGAGGTCTGGACTTATAACTTGAATATAGGTCCGCTGTACCGTATTATCATGCGCGTTTTGCCTTGGATAGTTATAGACCGCTTGGATTAAATATCAATGGCATAGCCAAATGATCTGGTAGAATTAACAGTATAATTTAGTAAACAAAGGAACTGGTAAAATACTTTAATAATTAGTTAATTAAATAATAATAAAATATATCCGTGAGCTCGCCCCAAATGGGTGTCATCAGGTGTGGGTATGTACCTTGTACCTTGTACCGTGCCGTACCTTGTTGTAGTTTCTTCTGGGAAGCTGACGAGAGTGGTTTAGGCAAAGGTTTCCATTACATCTAGAATGCAATCATTTATTATTTTATCACTTTTATTGATTTTTATGATTATGGTTATTAGGCCTATATTATTTTATTTAATTACCGTATCATTGTAATAGTTTTTTTACTATTATAATGATTATTTTCACTCACAATGTCTGATGATACAATATTTTCTAAATTTATTACCGTATGTATTCAACCGAATGATTTGTAGAGGCACACAGGAACTAGAAGCGGAATAATTCAAAATCACGTGACGAGGACAGCCAATCATGTAGCTTGTAAATATTCGCTATTTTGTTCCTACAAGTTGTTCGAAAATTGTAAAGTTTGTGTATGCTAGGTTTTGACTTATTCGTTCTAATTAAATAAGGCTGTATCACTATTCACAGATATCTCACTATTCGACACGATCAATACGAACGTCACAAACCATCGACAACCATGAACGTTCTACCAAGAGCTCAGTGAGTACTGTATTATGTATAATAATTTTACAAACTCTACCCGACGATGAGTTGAGTACTCTAGTGTAATAATTTGTATCAAGTAAACATTAAGTAAACGAGCTAATATAACTATAATCTTAAAAGGAGTACAATTATGTACTGACAGACACATTAAAAGTTGTTATTGTAAAGAATTTAATTATAATTATGTGATTACTGAAATATAGTTATTTTGTTTTGCGAAATATCTAATCATTAACATGTTATTAACTATTTTTGAGTGATGAGGATAACAGTAATGTCAAGAATTAATATTCATGAGAAACATGGTTCAATCAACTGTATTTACAATGACATTGTAAGAAAAAGAATTCATACACTTCCTTGCTTGTTATGTCACAGAAACAAATTAATGCAGGCTATAGAGGAAAAGGACTGGCCAGCAGTAACAGACATCCTTGAAAATGAACCCCATCTTATTGAAACGAAAAATGTGGCAAGTACTATGTTAGATTTATGACGTGATTTTCTTTATTTTAGAATTTTTATTACATCATATTTTTCAAATAAGATGCAGTTCCAACACAACACAAAACTCTCAATTATTTGCACAAAATGTGTGTACCTATTTTCTGGGTTTTTTATTATTAAAAAAAATTTAATCTGCCATACAGAATTGAAAACAAAATTGTCATTCTCTTTAATTAACTAACAAACGTGTGGTTTAATCATGGACTTATGATGTCCGCGAAGACTCTACTGAGAGCTAAATAAATCGGTCTAGCGCCCTCTCTAGTTCAATATATGTTGTACAAATTGTATTGCGTTTACTGTATAATTTTATGTAGTGTATTATTGCGCTTTACTTAGATAGTGAAAATCTATAATACATTTATTTTATTTTTAATCATTTCAAATGTCCCAAATAAAATAATTAACAGCCATTGTATAGCTTTAACCGAAATTGTCTCGCATTTCTCTATTGTAGCGCTTAGATCTACACAGAAGTTTTAGTGTGTAGGCCTATACCAATGAGTGTTCATATTATAGACTAAAATATTAGTGAAAATAATTTATTTAACATAAATCGTGTTTTACTGTAATCAGAGAATTTAGAATAAGATATTGATAAAGATACAAAATTAACGGATTAAATCAATAAAAAAAAATGAAATCCATGCTGAAATTAACCAACCATGAAGAGATGTTTATTTACTAATAATAAATAAAACAATATTGATGGTTTTTATACAGAAATTTATTATTATTTAATTTAGCCATGTTTGGTGAATAATATTTGGCCATCTCATAGGCGAGGGGTCTATTATGTTTTTGTCTTCAAACCATTATTCTAATATTGTAACCAATATTATTACTTTACTTCATAAATGGTAAAATTATCTAACGCTGCCCGGTATTTAGGTTTCGGGGCTTGAAAAAACTTGAATATAGGTCCGCTGTACCGTATTATCATGCGCGTTTTGCCTGGATAGTTAAAGACCGCTTGGATTAAAACGGTATCACCTGCATAGCCAAATGATCTGGTAGAAATTAACAGTATAATTTAGTAAACAGAGGAACTGGTAAAAAACTTTAATAATTAGTTAATTAAATAATAATAAAATATATCCATGAGCTCGCCACAAATGGGCGTCATCAGGTGTGGGTATGTACCTTGTACCGTACCTAGTTGACGAGAGTGGTTTAGGCAAAGGTTTCCATTACATCTATAATGCAATCATTTATTATTTTATTACTTTTATTGATTTTTATGATTATGGTTATTAGGCCTATTATTTTATTTAATTATCATTGTAATAGTTTTTTTTTACTATTATAATGATTATTTTCACTCACAATGTCTGATGATACAATATTTTCTAAATTTATTACTGTATGTGTTCAACCGAATGATTTGTAGAGGCACACAGGAAGCGGAATAATTCAAAATCACGTGAAGAGGACAGCCAATCATGAAGCTTGTGAATATTCGCTATTTTGTTCCTACAAGTTGTTCGAAAATTGTAAAGTTTGTGTATGCTAGGTTTTGACTTATTCGTTCTAATTAAATAAGGCTGTACTACTATTCACAGATATCTCACCAATTGATACGAACGTCACAAACCATCGATAACCATGAACTTTCTACCCGACGATGAGTGAGTACTCTAGTGTAATAATTTGTATCAAGTAAACATTAAGTAAACGAGCTAATACTATAATCTTAAAAGGAGTACAATTATGTACTGACAGACACATTAAAAGTTGTTACTGTAAAGAACTTAATTATAATTTTGTGATTAGTTATTTTGTTTTAGCTAAATATCTAATCATTAACATGTTAGTAACTATTTTTTATGGTGATGAGGATAACAGTAATGTCAAAAATTAATATTCATGAGAAACCTGGTTTAATCAATTACTGTATTTACAATGACATTGTAAGAAAAAGAATTCATACATTTCCTTGCTTGTTATGTCACAGAAACAAATTAGTACAGGCTATAAGGAGAGAGGACTGGCCAGCAGTAACAAACATCCTTGAAAATGAACCTCATCTTATTGATACGCAGGATGGGGCAAGTACTAATTTAGATTTATGACGTGATTTTCTTAATTTCAGAATTTTTAGTGAATCATGTTTTTAAAATAAGATGCAGTTCCAACACAACACACAGTTCACAATTATTTGCACAAAATGTGTGTACTTATTTTCTGGGTTTGTTTATGATAAAAAAAAAAATTAATCTGCCATACAGAATTGAAAACAAAATTGTCATTCTCTTTAATAAATTAAAACTGTGCGGTTTAATATTCAAAACGTTCGCGAAGACTCTACTGAGAACTAAATAAATCGGTCTAGCGCCCTCTCTAGTTCAATATATGTCGTACAAATTGTAATGCGTTTACTGTATAATTTCATGTAGTGTATTATTGCGCTTGACTTAGATAGTCAAAATTTATAATAAATTTATTTCATTTTTTATCATTTCAAATGTCCCAATTAAAATAATTAACAGCCATTGTATAGCTTTAACCGAAATTGTCTCGCATTTCTCTATTGTAGCGCTTAGATCTACACAGAAGTTTTAGTGTGTAGGCCTATACCAATGATGTTTATATTATAGACTAAAATATTAGTGAAAATAATTTATTTAACATAAATCGTGTTTTACTGTAATCAGAGAATTTAGAATAAGATATTGATAAAGATACAAAATCAACGGATTAAATCAATAAAAAAAATGAAATGCCCTTCCATGCTGAAATTAACCAACCATGAAGAGATGTTTATTTACTAATAATAAATAAAACAATATTGATGGTTTTTATACAGAAATTTATTATTATTTAATTTAGCCATGTTTGGTGAATAACATTTGGCCATCTCATAGGCGAGGGGTCTATTTTGATGTTTTGTCTTCAAACCATTATTCTAATATTGTAACCAATATTATTACTTTACTTAATAAATGGTAAAATTATCTAACGCTGAACACAGCCCGGTATTTAGGTTTCAGGGCTTGAAAATATCTTTATTATGAGCATTTATTACTATCCTCTACCATTCACACTGTACTAAAGAAATATAAACATTTCCACAATAATTGCATTTTTATAAAGAAAGTTCTCGTTTAAAATGCACCATGCTCAATTAAACCACATTGTCATTCTTGTTAAATAAAAACCGTGTGGCCAATATACATTTTATTTATATTTGGCCTACAAATTAGTTCGTTAGTTGATAAACTTCCGCATTGATAAGTTTCCCTGATAACTAAAAAAACGAATCTAGCACCCTCTGTAGTTCAACAATATTTATTTGAACTTGCACTTTTACGATATCGATGGCATTCAATATCAAGATTCAAAATTCAAGATAGATTTTATTGTCACATATAAAAATATACATGAAATTTGCTTTCCTGTGCTTATAAAATAAAACAATATAACATACAAAAAACAGTATACAAAGTGATTTAATGAGGCACTATGCGTTCATAAAACGAAATACAGGATAAAAACGTAAACAATTTTTAATACGACTAATATCAATGGGTAATACACATGCTTTTCGTTAAGTTGTAAATAAAATAATAATATTAAAAATATTGGCGATGAATGGTTGTAATTAAACTCAGGTCATAAGTAAATAAATCTTATTAGAGGGGTTTGAATTTATAATGTGTTAATTAGATAATTTTTTTAATGATTTATCGTATTAGTTGATTTAAATGAGAAATTCGTCTCACTCTTCATTTCAAATGCCAAAACTTAAATAATTATCAGCCAGTTGTGGAATGCTTTCCTGTTTCTTAACACAATAAACCTCGTCTCCGGTATTTATTTTAATCTAATATAGGTTAATTTAAAATAGGTGAGACAGTCAGTTATTTAACCATAACATGTGATCAAATTATTAATATAGTACTATTTTTAAAAATTCATTTAATTAATGGACTTTTTCTGGAGGAATGAAAATGATATCAATAATTAAATGATGTGGATTTACTAATGAATTTTGATAAAATATTAACCAGAATAAATAAATACTTAAGAACTTAATGCAATTGTATT